TGAAGATAAAGAAGAGTAAACACAATTTTTTGACTTAGTATATGTATTTCTGTTGGACTCTCCCAATGCCTTAGAAACCTAAATAAAATAAAAAACAATAAAATTACATTAGTACAATATAAAGAAAGCCAAATACATAAGAATGTATGTGTACGAGCTACCTATATCTTATGTATATATGCCTGTATGTGTGTGTATGTGATAAAAATCAAATTTAACACGAAATACGATTTTTGCATACATAATTATGAAAAATAATTAATTAGAGCATCATTAGAGATGGTAGTAAGTATCGATACTATGAAAAAAAGCTGGAAATTAGAAAATAATATTATTAAGTAACATTGGTTAGGTTTGGCGCGAAACTGAGATACATCGATGATTATATCTTCCGTATTTTTTAATATTTCGTTTTGAAAACACTCACGTATGAAAATCTTGTGTGTAGCTATCGTTTGATATATAATAGGAAGTTGTAAAATATTTTTCAGTTACCTGGATTAAACGAGATGGTGCAGTACGCTGGAACATATGCAGTTGACACATTCAAGATGGTCGTCGCCTCCATTGCACAGTGGTATGAGGTCCACTCGCAAAGACACGCAGCGACATCTGATGACGTCATGGCTTCTTGATAATTTTGCATTTTTTCCATTTATTCTATAAAAATATTGAATAGTTAAAAATAGCATATAGAAACATAACAATTGTTGAAATATATACTTTATTAACCCAGATAATAAAAATTAATCATTATAAGTTCATATCTATATATCTTATACACCTATTATACATATGCATATATAGAATCGTTCAGTTTTCTTGATACTTTACTAATATAATCTAACGATTTGCAGATTTGCAAGTATTTGAAGATTTGGAAAAGCACAGCATCAATTAGGCTTTCTAATCGTTTTATGTATCAAGTACATATATAAAAGAAGAACTTAAAGATTTTTAAATGAATCCAAGCAATATTTGTTGGTATTTAAACGAGCAAACACCTCAGCTTTGTTCTATCATAATAGTAAACTTCAATAATTCACATTTTCCATTGGTATATTATTTATTCATTGTTTTAATATATTGGTTGTATAATTGTGTAAAGAAATGTACTTTCTTTTTTCATTTACATATACGTTAATAAATGTGAGAAAAAGTAATTTAATTCTTACATGTTACTCTATTAGTTAGTATTCATTCAATATTTACAATTATATAACTGTAATTTATATATTGTAATAATTACATATTTATAGTGTAGTTTTATTTAAACAATTGCATAAAAATTGCATAGACACTACTAGCATCGATTAATTAACAATTATTTTAATGCACTAATGCACTTTTCTTATGTTACAGCTAAATTTTACCCTCGAAGTCATCACTGTGCTGGAGCATTAAAATAATTACATAAAAATTAAAAAATTACTAAAAGGAAAACGTTATAATCTTAAATTTTATTGATTGGGTGGATTATTCCTTTTATACACATGCGCAACGTTCGGAAAGTCATATAAACAACATCTAATAAAAGTAATTTCGTAGAGGACAATGTCTCATTTCAACGGTGAATTTCGAAGAGAACGGTACATAGATCATATACTCCGAGCTTGTAAACAACAATAGACATTTCTATCGATTAATTAACAATAATTTTAATATTCTAATACACTCTGCCTATATTTTAGATTGTTTAAACATATATGTAGTAGTATAAGCATTACATACTTATTAACATACTTTAAATATAAAATAATTTCGATGTGATATATACTCATTTAGATGAAAATTTTCCCGTCCAAAATTTTCACTGCATAGGAACGTTAAAACAAATTTACATTTATTTAACCAACTACATAAAAATTAAAAAAATGTAAAATCAGAACGTTACAATCTTAATTTCTATTTAATACAATGAATATTTTCGTTATACACACATGCGCAACTTTCAGAAAGCCATGTAAACAACTATCGATAAAAAAAACTTTCTTATGTGATAACATATGAGTTGGTTAGTTTCTCAATTGAATTTGTAAATGTATTCCATTTTCTGGACTTAACGTAAAACCTCGTTTCAAATATTTGATTTCAGTTGGAGTATTCGACCCTGGGAAATATTCGTACTTTCTCAACGCATTTACAAGGGCTATTTTCATTTCCACTATTCCAAATCGTATACCTTAAAAAAAAAAGTTAAAGCAAATTATAATGCACGTTAGACTTTCATCGATTATTTGCTATTATCTATACACAAGGTATTCTAATTAAAATATCTCTTTGTTTTTTAATGCTGTATGTAATGTGTGAAATATACAAATGAAGTTTGAACAACTTTATAAATAATAAGATGACCAAAAAAAAATATATTTCTTATGACGTATTTTTCTCTTTTAAAAGTAATCAAATTAAACAAATAAATATTGTCAATATTGTTAAAACAAATGAGATATTTAGAGTTGGGTTTCTACATACGAAATTTGTTATATTGTATTATACATAAATATCATACCAGGACATATTCTTGGTCCCTCCCCAAATGGCATGTAAGTATATTGATTCCTAGAACGAATTTCTTCGTCCGTAAATCGTTCCGGAATAAATTTATTCGGTTCCGGATAATATTCAGGATCTCTTTGTATTCCAAGCACAGGAATTAACATTATAGTGCCTACGGGTACGACGATATTATAATTTGGCAATTCGATATCTTTATTACAAATGCGATTTAAAATTGGCAATGTTGGATATTTCCTCAATGTTTCTGCAATCAAAAATGACCAAATATTATTTGTTTTTTTTTTCGATCGATAAGATTAATTACTTTGATAAATAATACTAATAACACATTAAACTTCATAATTACCTAATATAACCATTTGAAGATAAGACATTTCGTTAATAGCTTCGTTAGTAATGCCGTCGTGTCTCTCTAAAATCATATCAATCTCATCGTGTACTTTTTGTTGAATATCTTGATTCAAGGCTAACTCATAAAGACAGAAAGTAAGCGTAGTTGATGGAGACTCAAAGCCAGCCAAATAATAACCATATGAATGTGCTACCCCTTCTAACATGGTGAATTTTTTTACTTTTTCTGTGATGATATAAGGAATAAGTATTATAATTTATTTTGAAAGAAAAATTTATCCAAAAGATTAAATTAATTATATAATAAAATTTTGTTTTATTTCCCCTTAAAAAGTTCAATCGAATATGCAAATTTACTCTAACGCATTAATGTAATTACATTTGTTTGATTTTTTATAATAAATTATGTTAAATCATTTAACTTAATGTTACACTTTATATTACTTACTCTGTACATTAGGTTTTTTTCCTTCATCATATTCGACATATCCGTTCTCTATCATTTGTATTATCAAATTTAAGAAATCGTCTCTAACAATGTTATTCACTTTTCGATACTCCACGGTGGTCTTAAAAACGTTTATGAAAAATTCGGATATATTTTTGCCGATAACAGGTATTGAAAATATATCCAATATTTTAGGGGTAAATAACATCATAACATTTTTTAAAAGATTCGTAGAAAAAAACATTCTACCAGAGCGATTAAATTCGGATTTTGGGTCCTTAAGACAATTGCTTTCTATCCCAAAGGCAGTCGACATTATGACGTCTATGAAAAAACTGAATCGTATTGATTAAATATTAGTTTTTTTTTTATGAAATGTTTTTTTATTGAAATATTGTTAGTTAAAATGTTAATTTGAGGTGGTACAAATTTTTTCTAATTATTTCATGAAATATCAAACAGAATGCGTTATTCAGAATGAAACAGCGCGAAATTGAAATTTAAAATGTTAATAATTTAACGAATTAATAAATTATCGTTATTACGTTATCTTACCTACAAGCAATATCCTTTATCTCGATTTCATTTTTATTTTCGGCTTTATACGCGAGAAATTCTTCTAAAGCGTATCCTTTGTCTCGTAAAATTGCAAACATATATTTGATCTTTCCGTTCGTATTAAAAGTTGGCGATAAGCGTAAGCGCATATTTCTCCATTTTTTCCCATGCAATAAAAGCAAATTTCCCGAAAGCGGATCATCCTTTTCGTTGCAGTAGTATCCATGATCTTGAAAATTTGTAAATCCTTGCGCCAACACGAAACGTATCAAATCTGGATCATTGATCACGAGATTTGGTTTGTACATCGAGAATGTACCAATATAGGGAAACTTTTTGTACTTGAAGTAAATCTCAGCAAAGATTTCGCCTTTAAAAATGATCACATCAAAAAAAAAAGAAAATAGTTGTGGATAAAGAAAAAATTGATTTTTACTTATAACTATTTAAAAAAGAAAAAAAGAATAATAAAAATAAAAGTATAACAACTTACCGAATATTTTTCTTTTGAGTATAGCATCGAGAAGATTTCCAACGGGAAACATTGGTTTCACGTAAGGTACACCTCTCTTACTCCAAAAGTTGAAAACATATATTTTGTAATACAAATATGTTCCAATAATGATGAAAATCAAAACACAGATTAGCTCTGATAATATCCAAAAAATCGCCATAATTATTATAGTCGAAGGTAATTTCTCTTTTTTTCTAAATTACCCTAAACGCTGAAAATCATAAGGGGTATTTCATACAAATTTCATACTTCAATGGTTAATCAAAAATTTGTTTAACGATGGGAGTAATTACGATCGTTATTTATCGTTATATTGTAATGAATAAATTTAGTTATACGTATATGCAAGATTAATCCTATAAACTTTTCATGCAAAAGTATTATACTACAGATATTACTTCTCACGAGAAACCTAGTATATAGAATTAAAAACACGAGTCTTTAAAATAGCGAAAAATATTCTCGAATTACGTTATGCCAATATAATAATTATTCGTTAATTATCATTCGAAGCGATAATTAATATTTACAAGAAGAGATAAAATAACGTTTACGCGAACCTATAGCTATCACCGCGTATTTCTAAGTTCATCCAATCTCCTGCAGTAGTTAATGGTAGTAAGTATAATAATTAAAAAAAAAGAAAGAAAAACAAAAAAAAGAATTTTTGAAAAACTTTATGAAAGTAAAAAAGAAAATTAGTATCTCTGTCAATTAAAAATATAGAACTTAGAACTAAGGGCATGGTGAGATCTGTGATAATCATAAACAAAAAAAACGATATCAAACATTATCAATCACAATATCAGTCACTCATATACTTATATGCAAATATGATAAATGTTGAAAATACGATTGGTTCGATTAAACTGTCCGCGATCTATTTTCCTTCCAAAGATAAAATAACTATGGAAGATTTTTTATTTAATATTGTATAAGCTTTTCTTAATATTCCAAGAAAAGGGGAAAAAAATTATAAATATATTATTAAAACAGATATAATAGGGGAGGGGGAGATATAATTTTATTAAGTAAAATGGAATAGAGAATTGTATCTATAATCTTCTCACTACCGAATCACTAATTAACACTTTAATGATCGCACAACTACGCAGTTAAACGTCTTTCAGAGGCCAGCAATATTTTTAAAGAATTATTTTTAAAATATCTTAATGTATATTCATGTAATAATCCAACGTGTGAAAACATACGTATAAAACAAAAAATAAAAACGATAACAACACATTTAATATAACATATTTAATATTTTTCCTTTGTGTGATGATAGTTATAATAATAATAATTTGTTGCATGAGCGGCCATTAAAATGTTAATTATCGTCGTATACTTCATTACTTTTCGTCTTAATTACTAAATAAAACTATATTTTTTCACGTCGTACTTCTTAACAAAATTATTTTTACTAGTCGTAACTGTTCTTAATATAACTTTACATAATAATCTTCACCCACGTGCATTTTCATATATATATATATTCATTATAAAACACAGAAGACTGATTGTGTTTATCAGAATTTATTTAATTTATGTAGATAGATATAGATAGATATATTATATACTAATATAGGTACTTATTGTTTTTTTTTTTATAACAACCACTGAACCGAGGAATATTTTCACTTGTGGACATTCGACAAATTGATTTAAAAAATTAAAAATAGTTATTTAAAAATAATTGTCTAACAATTTTAATGGCTTTCCACGAAGAATAATCTGTGTTTTTATTTGGTGGAAAAAATTCTTTGTTACAAAACACGGATATTAACACCATGCGCACAACAACAAAAATTAGAAAAACAAATTTAATGTATAAATGTTATGGAAATCGCGTTACACTTCGGAGATTGCTTAGCTTCTTATCATTTTCTACTATTTAAATTTTGTCAAATGATACAAAATATTACCAAATATTAGTATTTCTAATAAAATATGAATAATTAAATATATAATACAAAAAATTTTGCATTTATTTTACTTGATTATACGTATAGTTTCGTTAAAAGATATTAAATACAAATCTTTTTTTATACGGTGGAAAGAAACTGAATAAAAAAAATTGCCCAAAATAAATAGCGCAAAAAGGATCACATGGGAGAGGACCGCTTAAAAACAAGTTTTACTGCATATCTTCAAAATGTCAAGAACAAAGTGAACAGAATTGAGAAATCATGAACACTGGGGGAGGTACAATAAGATTATTTAAATTCGATTTATGAGTTTCTTTCGAAAACCTTGAAAAACCACCACAAAGCGAAAGAATAAACCATTACACGTATAAATTTGTATAATTGTGAACCTTTTAATTTTCTTAGTAATAGATTTTAATTTTTTTTTATTCAAGAGAGATTTTTTCGGGTAGAAGTTTTTATCGCGATTGTTTTCAATTTGCTCTGTAGCGTACTAAACTGCCTCTTGGGATCGGTATAGTAAATTTATCTACTAGTCGTTTCTATTTTAATAAGATATTTTCAGATTTACATTACAATTTAGGTTTATATTAATGTGTTGTTTGTAAATTGTTCAATCTGCGATATTGTTGCAAAGTATACATGATTTTGGTTTAATGTTTACGGTTTTTCCTAAGTAATTTATAATAATCGGTGTATAATCACAGAACACTAACAATAAGTACTAAACTAGATTCAATTTTAAAGAATGATTTTGTTCAAGTCTTTGATTATAACGAAATCTATTAAATCGGGTGTTTTTTCAAATGCCATTGGCTGGTATGTCAAGATGTAACTTTCGGATGATCTATTAAAGAATTTTTCTTCTTGATAAAATTATCTTTAAATCTCATAGATATCATTCATCTCAAGATATTTATTACCAAACGATTTGAAATAATTCGATATAGTTTTCTATAATCGTGAGGATGGGAGAAATTCAGTAGTGAGAAGGAAGGAGTGTAATCCTGTTTGATGTGAATCTATATATAAAATTGTGCCCATAATTATGAAAGTGGTCTAATTGTAAGTCATATATCTTTTGTTTCGAGATATTTAAAGGATTATATTTAAACACTAAATGAATTCTATATAATATTAAAATAACAAACACTATCTAACAGTTCATTTTTGATAATATCGTGAAAATTACATTGAATTCATTTAGTTGAAAATAATGTGGTGTGAAATAACTGATAAATTGATTTTTTTTTTAATTTTGGCTTAGACCACTTTTATAATTATGGGCACATTAATGTAAGATCTATATACCACTGTGTTTAACCCGCTCTAATTTAATATATAATAATTTAAAATTATTGATTTTAAAAAATAAAAGTGGATCAGTCAAGTATGATGCAAGTTTTTTGTTGGTTTTTTTTTTGTAATAACAACTTTTAATCGATTCGATATTTTAATTAATAAACGTAACGTTAATTATTTTTACCTTGTTCCTTAAGAATTCGGATAATTTTATTCCTTTATTCCTTCGTACTTAAAACTTGGATAGCCGAAAACTTAAGAAAAATTTTTCTAATAAACTGGTAAGTTCTGTTAAACGCGTGAAGAAGGTTGAAGAGTAAACTCGGAAATGATCAGTAACTTGTACGAGGAAGCTACTATATATCCTACGAAGAGCTACTATACAGGGTGTCCCATATAACTCTAGTCACGATTTTTCAAGTACTTGCAGTAACCAAGTAAGTCAAAAATACACTAAGTGCCATTTAAAAAAATAAAGGTAGCCTCAAAAAACATTAAAGAAGAAAACTTTTTCGAACTTTTTTTTATTGCAATGTATAGTCAATCAAAAACAGATGAACTTTTGTTTAAAGTATTTTTTTGTCAGGTTATCGCAAGTACTTGAAAAATTGTGACTAGAGTTATGTGGGATACCTTGTATATCCTACGAAGGAGAGAAAGTTAAACTTTTGGAAATTTTAAACGAAGGTAGTGAGAGTTTTATCTCTCTATTGACTGTTAGGATGGAACAATGATCTCAGACTATCTGAACTATCTTTGTAAGATATTTTTCGAAAAATTGTCAAAACCAAATAAGCAAACATCTGGAATATTATTTAAAACTATAATCTCTTAGGACAAATATAGACTTCAGTTCTTTATTTTCGAAGTTTTAACAAATTTTTAGAACTTTCATTAATATTACGATTTGGAATCTAGTTATACCATTCTAGCATTTTATGGGTTGAGTTTTCAGCATGTCTCTTTTCAATGCTTGCCTTAAGAATAATTAGAGCTTTTCGTTAATATCAAGAAATTTTAGATAACAATATGTTATTCAAATATATCATGGAAAATTGAAGATAATAAACCATGACGTGACCACCTAAAAACAATGTGATTTTGGAGAATTTTTATATAAGAAGACTACTACATGAAATGTTTCAAAATTTGGAGGATATGTTTATACATTATTAACTAATATACACTGAAATTTTCAAATGAAAAAATTTAATTTTCAGCGAGTTATATGCTATCTCCCAAGTCACTAAAAAAAAGATCCTCCACTGATGCAGTGATTGCGGGCTTCACAGTGGATGAAATAAAAAAAAAATATAAATTGTTAATTTAGAAGGTATTGCCTATACAATGACCTAGAATTGTAAAAAATATTAAAATTTAACACAATGGCAGACTGAAAAAAAAATCGAATTTTGCTCAAAAATTAAATGATTTTTGGCCCGCCAAAATTACATTTTCCATACAATCGAAAAACTTTTAGGTCATTCTATAGAGAAACATATACGAAATAAGCAGAAAAAAAATCAAAGCGATCGGATAATTCTTCTTCGAGTTACAACTGCAGCCAATTTGAAAAATGTAGTTTTGAGAAAAACGCGTTCAAAGATAAAATGATTAATTTCTAATCCCTAAACGGCTACTCTTTAGAAGGCTCTAACTCTAAAACTATTTAAAATATTTATTTAAAATTTTAGTATGTTATTTTTAAAGATATAGACTATCAAAATATGAAAAAAAATCAATTTTTTCAAAATTTCACACTAGGTGTGCCCTTAAAATTGTCAAGTAGAAATAAGTTTCTAAAATTTGTAATCTACGTGACGTCACCTCGGCCTGTTTATTCCGCGGTAATATTTAAAGGGGTATTCTGGTTTAGAGGCATGAATTTTAAATACTTTTTGAAGTGCCGTAAAAAAAAGGCAAACAATATTTTTAGTATGCATTTTTTTATCAGATATTTATTAATATTTCAAGAATACATAAAATAAAAAAGGGAAAAAATTAAAAACTCAAACAGTAGTGAGAGTGGTAGCGCTGATTGTTGCGTAGTAGGATGTAGTAGTTTTTAAATGCCTTTGCATTGATCGAATTACAGAGAACGTATCTAAACTATTATTTATATTGTATAATGGATATCGATAATCCAACTCCACAAGATCTTCAAAGAAAATTATATTTTTTAGTTGAACAGCTTCAACATATGGCTGGAGAACTTCCACCGAAATATCAAATGAGACTTCCTTACGAATTGTTGTCTGCCTTGGCAAATTCTTTATTAAATGACACCATTTTTGAGATTGTCAAGGGTTTAATGGAAATACAACATGTTACAGAAAAACATTTGTTTCAGCAAAGATTGCAACTCTTAAATCAACAAAAAATAGAAACTCAAGAATCATTGTCAAACATAACAACGGATGAGGAAAGAATGGCAATAAAAGCTGCACTTTATAAAAAACACAAAGATGAATTAAAACAAATAGATATGAAACTGGTATTGCAATTGGATCAAAAGGTATCAGATCAACAAAGTATATTAGAAAAAGCTGGTGTACCTGGATTTGAAGTAACCAATAATCCAATTGAAATTCAAGTACAAATGAGGTTATGTGATTTTATAATAAGATTAAGTAAAATGGAAGTACCCAGATAATTTCAACTGTTTAAATTATTTTGTTTACCTTAATTAATATTAAACTTCAATTACAAATATATTATTTAAATGACATTATATTAAACAACATTATTATGTAAAAATATTTCTTTTTTATGTATAAAAAGTTCATAAAAATATTTATTATTTTTATATATGAAACAAAATGAGTATTGTTTGCGTCACTATTATAAGTAGTATAAATTTAATTTCATTCTTATTAACGAGAATTTTTCTATCACCTTGTATAAGTAGGTGTAAAAGAAAAACATGAAAAAATTGTAAAAAATTTAAAATTCCCAAGAATCCATCCATCGCAAAGAATGCATAGAGCTTTCAGGATCAGACGCAGCAGGCCCCTCCATTCCATAAGCCAATGGTGAAAATAAATAAAAGCTATAAGTACGTAATACATATTAAATACATAAGAAACAATGTATTATATAAATTCGCTGTTAACCATTTGAGTCCCAGGGGTCTTTGGAATAATCTCATTGAAAACACCCAAGCAGGGTGATAACATTTGTCTCAATTTATATTGAGAAGACCCAAACAACGTTATTCTATTCTGTTTTATTAATGCGATTGGCAAGTATCAGTAAAGTACAGCAAACCAACTACGGTAAAATTCTAAAGCATCATCAGTGGTGCACAATGGTCAAATGTATTGGATCTTTTCGATATGAAATCTGAGGAGTGCAATTACGCTCCTTGTAACTCAAACGGTTAAATATATTCACCTATATATCGTTATAGAAATAACGCTGCCCATTATAGTATGATAAATAGTATTTCCTACTTTATTAGGCAATAATATTTGTAAACTTTCGACGATGTAATTTAAAGTAACGGCAGTTAACATCGAGCTATATAGCAATGCTGGAAAATAATGATGGAAGTATAATACTCTACTCATAGCCCAAAATGGTGCATAATGTAAAAACCATCCAACAAAAAGCCATTTCCCTGCTTCCATTATTTTCTCCCTTTGTTGAAGTGTTAAAGCATCCTCAATGCAACCTCTTTGTTCTCTTATACACACATGTATGTATAACATAATAAACATTATAAGGAATATTATATTTCCCCACCATATAACAGGATTACCAAGCAAATAGACCCTCTGATTATTGCCAGAGAAGAATTGACCCTAAAATCAGTATTATATTTAACTTTTATCAAATCTTTCATTTATCTATTATATTAATCTGTACTAATAAATACTCTGTAATTAATAGGCCATTGCCAAGGTTGTGAAGATACTTCTCCTTCTTTCACTTTGAGATCTGAATTTCCTTGCAACATGACAGCATGTGATTCCAAAAATCTATCAAGGAATCCAGGTGCATAAACTTGGAAACTTACATTGGGTACTGTAAATGATATTTAGAGTTATTACTATTAAATCTAGTATTAAGAATTTCTTATAAAATAAATCGAAATTAATATAATATCGAATACTTACATTTAGTATAATTATTATCTTCTATGTTCCATAATGCATTTTTGTCTCTCATATTTGGATTACATGAAACCTCTTGTTGATTATAACCCCTAAAGTAATATAAAATTCATATTAATAATATATATTAATATTATCATATTTATAATAATTCTTCGTTAATTCTTGTTTTCCTCGCATACTAACCATTTTGGTAATGTCTTTCCGCTACATGTTAATACGCAATGATGAAGATAGTGAACAAATTTTAACTTACTTGTAACAGTTTCAACTATATCACCATCTTTACCATTTGCTATCAATATTTTCCAAACATCATTGGCATCTCCTGTACCATTCTGGAAAATAGATAATGATAATAATAATTATTATTATCACTCAAAATGACAAATATTTCAGGATCCTATGCTACGGCACAGTTCGTACACCCATAAATACTATTTTGAATACAATATTGAATAATTAATTCACAAAATATTTACCTCGCCATATCCTGTTACTTGATAATGTTTTTTAGAAATAGGTGCAATTTCTTTATGAGAATGTAAATTCCGTTTTGTAATAACATGTTCCAAACGTATAAGATCACCCTGTTTTACCAATACTGGTTCAGACGGAATGTCATCGGTATCATATTTTTTTATCAACCAAAGATTATTATCGTCTTTATGGGAATAAGTTGTAATCTAGAAAATAAATAAAACTATTGTTTTATTTAACAAATTCGAGCTTGCATTCTTATAAAGATTTTATGTATAAATACCTGTTGCTGCCTGGCACCAACTTCTTCAGGATATAAATGCCAATGAGAATGTAAATATCCTCCACCTGTACGATGATTTTTTAAAGTAATAGTAGCACCATATGCTAATTGTCGTGGCATAGTTGCATTGTACAAAGAATTTCCTTTTAATAATGATTGGAATTCCGAACTATAAAATCCATCTCCACTTCCGCTGAATCAAAGAAATACATTTGATAGATAATAATAACTTTTTGTATTATATAAAAAATAAAATCGATGATTTCACCTTTTATTTAAAACTTGAAGATGAATGTAGAAAAATAACATGTAAAGAAATACTGGTAACATAATAAGACAACAAAATCTTGCTATCAAATGTTTGCTCACATAAGACTGGAAGAAAAAATATTTTCTATATTTTTTTTTATTCGGATCACAAATAAAATAAATTATATTATTATAATTATTAAAAAATTTTTAAACCTAACATAGAAGCAATATTCTTTCGGTCAAACTTATCTTTTATTTGAAAAAATTAGATTTTTGTTATTGTCAGGGCTCAAATTTTTTCAATCCAGCCTCGTATATCCTTATCCTATAATAAATGAAAAGAAAAATAATGCTTACAATGGGTTTCGTTAAGTCCCCTAATTCTCGCCATAATTCGTTTATGGTATAAAGACCAACAAGCATGACAACAAACAGACCAACAAATTTAACGCTAATTGTGCACGCAAGGGATACACCTGTAAATATTAGCCAACTCCACCAAGAAGATGTAAATGGTTGATGACGAAGAGAACCAATACGAGTCATTCCCCAAGTTGCACACATCATAAAACATAATAATATTGGGTCCAGAAGAATATACTGATTTAAAGTCAATAGACCAACATCTACAATCAAATTCATTATTATGATTAAAAATAAACATTTGGTTTTATCGATTGAGATTAAAATTTACCAAAAAGAATAAATACTGCAGAAAGCGTTGCTGCATGAGTAGATTTCGTTAAATCCCATACTGTGAGAAATGATAAGGGTACTGTAGTAGCACCTAATAATGTACAAAACTAAAAAAGAAAAGAAGTATATTTTTAAACATTATAAATATTAACCAGTTAAATTATTTCCATAATTATTTTACATTTAAAGAAATAAACATAATTACTATTCTCATTCCAACATATTTGACATTTTCATATTTATCACCTGGCTTTTCAAATGCAAATGTACCATTGTAACCAGTTAAATACCCAGATAATGCAATAAGCATCTAAAATGAAGAATAAAGATTTTCATTCGTAACACTCATGAATATTCACTAATATTTATAACATTTGGAAAATGACAAAATATTTACTTTTCCAAGAGGAGGATGTACATCAAAGAAAAATGTCCTATTTATATACCAACTTCCCATTTTACCAAAATGAGTTTCGTCCCAGCTGTAATATAATATTATTAAATGCACTATCAATTATATAAATAAATATTTGAAGCAAATAAATATATGTTAATGTATTTCTTTTATTTTTTTCTTTATACCAGACATGTTGTGGCTCTGTAACTTTATAAAATCTAGTTCCAATTGTAAGAATTATAATAATCCCAAATAACAGCCACCAATTTCTACAAATAAATAAATAAATCATTTTATATATTTATAATTGAACAATTACCAATGATTAATACATTTGTTTACGTACCGATTTCGTTCATAGCATATATTTTCATTTTTGAATGGTAAATGTTTTAATTTTGGAATATTTTCTTCTATAATTGTTTTCATTTTTTATTATTTAATAGAGTATTTTTGTTAAATATAAACAGTTTAGAAAAGAATGTATACAGTTGACATATTTGAAAAGTGCATATATATATAAAAATGCCGCGTGGCTGATAAGTGAAATACCAATTACAGGATGGAACAAAAGTTCCTAAATCATCTAGGAACAATCTAGGAATAAAATAGTAATCAAATTACTATAAATTAATGTAATTATTCTTTAATTTATAATATATATACATATATATTTAACAATGTTCAAAATTGCGTAGCATAAATTTAAAGGATATTTAGTAAATTATATTTTATAGGTACCCGTGGACAATATCTCTTGGATATTGTAAAGAACAAACTAATTTATAACCTTAATTTAATATAAAATTTATTTTTTCTTATATATGTTATAGGAAAAGTGAGACCTTCAGGGATGGTGAGCTTTCCTAGGCATTGGCCACAATGCCAAGCGGCTTTTGGCAACGTAGGAAACAAGAATTGTTATCTTTTGTTCCTTTTCATAGCGGCACACACCGGCATTTAGTTTCAGTTTATAGAGGTGCACATAGTACAGCGGCACGATAGTCTCAAAAACCTGCTCCATGCTCGCTTTGTGTGTGTGTGTGTGTGTCTGTTGCCCAATAATGTATTCCTCTCAATATTGCTTAAATAGTAATTTAATATTCTATAGGATATTAAGGTATTATGTACAATGCCTTGGAAAAGTCCGTAAAAATTCTTCTTTTCTTACGTTGCCAAAAACCGCTTGGTATTGTGGCCAATGCCTAGGCAAGCTTACAATCCCTGAAGGTCTCACTTTCCCTAGAACATATATAATATAAGATAACTTATTGTTTTGTTCATGGAAAACATTATTTGGCACGAGCATCGGAGCAAAACAGTAAATTCCAAATTATAAAAATAAAGTATATATTATACAATATTATCTATGTGTGTGCATAGAACATCATGCAAATGATAAAATGCAATAATTAATCTCTAAGATAATTAACTATTTACTTGTTTTATTTTGTTCTAATGGTATAATAACAATACAGTTTTTAGCTTCTGATATATGCCACCATCTACCAAGTCTGTGTTCTTTACCGACACCAGCAATTAAATTATTGCCATCTGATGTAAATAATAGAGAATTTATGAATCCTACTAATTTAATTGTAAACAATGGATGTAGAGATTTGAACGAATCACCACATCGCCACAACTTGATCTCACCATTCTTAGAACCTAATTAAAAAAAAATATTTATATTATATTTAATGATCTGCACGCATTTTTTTATAATAAACATAAAATATACAAAAGAAAAAATATTGAGAAATAAATAATAGATATCTTATGAAAAAATGTCATACCAGATGCAACTAAATCAGTATTCAAAAACGTTGCTATGCTTGTTATCCAATTAGGTTCATCATTACTGTCGTCTTTCCCATGTGCCTCTGATACAGAGCATAAAGGTTTCTTTTTATGAGAACCCCATATACAAAGTGAGCCATCATCACTGCCACTAAAAAAATTCTCTTCATTGATAAGTTTAACGATACCTATACTGTTAGTATCGCCGTTAAAAATTAACTGGGATTCTTCAACAATTTTCCATACTCTAATAGTTCCATCAAATCCGCCACTAGTTATGGCACGTTCTCTTGACAAAGCATCAATCGATGTGATACCGTTTTGATGTCCAAATCTAACAATAGAAGTGCATTATAAACATACAATTTATGTGAAAATATTAATCCATTAGATGTTAACATATACTTACAATGATTCAACATACGCCATATCGTCCAAATTCCAAACTTTTACGCTTCTATCATCAGATGCAGAATAAAGTGTATGTGTGTCTTTTCGAAACACTAGACCAGTTACTATATCTCTATGACCTTGTAAATTTTTGAGAAAATTTAAATTTTCTCCAGAAAATACTTTGATTTCTTTACAACCACCGTCTCCTGCAACCTAAAATATTATTCATGAATTAGAAACATAGATATGTCGAATATATAAAATCTATATTTAAAATACAATATACTATATTGCTTTTCTTACCAAAAATTTTCCATCCGTACTAACTGCTATACAGTTAATCGATTTCATTCCGTCCTGCTCTTTATTTTTTCCTTTTATAACTTTCAATTTAGTTCTTTCTTTTAATGACCCTAGTATCAATGAAATAATATAAATTACATTATTTTCTTGTTAGATATTTATTAATCAATGTTTTTAATTAAACAAATTTTAATAAAAACTTACATTTAATTAAACTACCATCTTTAGAACCAGAATATAAAATGTTCCCTTTACTATAAAAACATAAACAAGTAATAGAATCTCTGTGATCTTTACACTTCAACATTATAGGATCTTGATGAGCAATGTAATGCTCAGCAACTGTTTTTCTGAGATATCCCTTTTCTTCCAAATATTCATCTTTTAATCTTTTCTCAACCGCTCCTTCCTCAAACTCTGCTCTATTTTTCTCTATATATTGAATCAAAATATATAATACATTAATTATGTGTAGATATTTATATACGCATAGTGTTATAGTTTATATTTAATTTACTAACCTTCTTCCTCAATTTGTTGAAGATATTTTTTGGCCAACCTGATACGTTTTTCTTGTGCAGTTTCTTCACTTTCTGACTCACTTTCGAATTCTGGTAATTCTTGACTGCAAAACAAAAAATATTTTACTTTTACAGAAAAATTGTTGTTTCTTTTTGTTAATTTATTTATAAATACAAAAAATACATAATTGAAATAAATAAAAACTCATCTCTGCATTCGTTCAAATTTCATAGGAAGTGTAAACCATTCAATATGATCATAAATAAAAGGTCAGTAGGACTAAACACGTTAATTGATATTTATTAAAAGTACTTATCTATATGCTCTATATATTGGAGCTCGCATGGAAAAAAGATCATAATAAATTTCATTATATTTTAGCACATAGATCAAATCCTATTTGTCATTTTTGAACTATACGATTACACTTACTTTTGATTCTCTTCTGCAAATTCTTCGTCATCGCTTGGTATACTCTCATTGTCATCAGATTTTCTTACATTTTTTTTCTCTTTGAAAGCAAGTAAACTTTTATTTTTATTTTTATTTTCAAAGCGTCCATTGTACTGAAAAATAAACAAATATTTGATTTAAAAATAGTATATTACGAATACATAATATTTTTATTTATTGATAGTTTATACATTAAACACAAAATTCGATTAAATTTTAATTGTTTAAATTTAAAGTCAATTAAGACTGAATACTAAATTATTTGTTTATTATAAACTGCATAATTCTAACCTATAATATGCAACTAAAAATCGTTCAATTTATTAATGCACAAACATTAATAACTTACTTTTCTTTTATTTCCATCCTTGGCGTGATTGTTTCTAATAAAAAATGACATTTTTACGTTGAACTAATATAAATTACAACAATTTAAAAATAAAATCTAAATTTCTAAATTTATTTCAAATACATTAAGCACATGGTAGAAGCCATTCAATTTGTTTGATACTTGTTGCAACGGAGCTATATAGATATGCGTTTTCGTCGAATTTGTATTGCTGAAAATAAGAAAATACCGAGTACGATAATTCTCCACGAGGGCGGCGGTGGTGTTCACAGATTAACGGATAACATTTGTCCACCGTCCTGGTTCCCCACATACGTGTAAGGACCCTAAAAAATCAAAATAAGTTGACTAAGGTTTTTCAAAAGTAATTTTTGTTAAAGCATTATTTGTCATATATTTAGATAACCCTATAATTTTGTATAAATCTGTTGTAACATAGAAATATAATAAAAAAGATAATAAAACTGATAATGACGAAGAAGAAAGCAGTGCTTATGGTCTGTTTAGGTATATTTTTATAATTTTTCTTTAATAAGTGTAATTATTTTACCATATATAATATATAATCTCATATGAAACATTTATCCCTTTATTTCTAAAGGAAATATTTGCCGCTCTCCAATTGCAGAAGCTATTTTTGATGATAAAATTAAAAAGATAGGTTTAACTGATCAGTGGGAAGTTGATAGCGCAGCTCTTATAGGATATCATACCGGTAAAAGTCCTGATCCAAGAGCTGTCTCTGTATTGAGAGAAAAAGGAATTACTAACTATTCTCATAGTGCTAGACAGGTATGTAAAGTTTTTAGTAAATAATATAATGTAATATAATATCTATTTTAATATTTATTGAATATGAAAAAATACCATATATTACTTGTTAATTCTAGATTACGCTGGACGATTTTCATAAATATGATTGGATATTTGGGATGGACTATGAAAATTTAAAAGTATTAACTGATATGAAACCGCAGAACAGTAAAGCAGTAGTTGATATGCTTGGGAAATATGATCCATTAAAAGAAATAATAATACGTGATCCTTACTATGATGTACATTATCATATTCTTTATATTCTTAGATACTTATTTATTTATTTAAATATAATTTAAATTGTTTCTATTTTTATAGAATCATAATGATGGATTTAAGGCGGTATTTGACCAGTGCACAAGATGTATTATAGCGTTTTTAGAAAAATATGAAGGTATTTAATTTTTATATTTAATTATATCATTTTTGTTATAGCATAATGTAATGTTAATTTAAACCTAAGATATATATAATAGTTATTTAATTAATATTTAAAATTTATTATTTCCAAATTTATCTTATAATTATTCATTATATTACTTATACATAATAAATAATTTAATTTTTCAATATAATAAAAACGTTTGTAAATAGAAGAAACTTGACACATTCTATAATACAAATGCATTCTATTTTCCCATGAAAGTAATATAACATACTGTAGAAAGATAGAAAAAAAATGAAAATAAATAAATCATACTTTTCAATAACGAAAGCGAGAAATAAAATTGAAATCAAAATTAAATAAAAAATAAAGTCGACCCAGTGATATAGCGGTAACGAGTCTGCGTTATTACACGTTACGCTACTGTCTAAACAAACTATTATATAAGAATGTTAGTAAAACTTCTTTCCTCGTTTTCTCAGAAGCAATTGGGCTTTATATCCTGCTTCTAAAGTGCAATGTATAATTCTAATGGACCTCTACAAATATATAAAGTTTAAAAAAAAATCGGAGAAGGACAATACTCTCACAGCCCTTGTAAGTGAAACAAACCACAATAAATTGTAAAAGGTTGGAAACGAGGAGACAGCAAATATTTTGGACATGGAGCCTATAAATAAGGAGGACGATCGCTGTGTTATAAATGTGGGTACAATATTCACAATGAAAGGATGATTTCTATTGCCACTAAAGAGCGCGCTAGTCCCTTAGTCTGGTTTTTAAAAACAGTAATTAAAACAAAAACATCAGAAACTTATTAATTTCATTTGTTTATTTATAAAATCACACGTACTTGAATCTAAATTTAAGACATCACCGCCGCCCTCGTGGATAATTATCGTACTCTACATTCACTCATTCTCAACAACACAAATTCGATGCAAACGCCTATCTCGATCATCCTCCTTATATATAGCTCCGTTATTTTGGAAATAAACAGTCTAGTTATCCGTTGTCAAATGAGAATACAATAGCTCTTCCTCTTGTTGCAATAAATGATCCTTGGTAATATCTCGTTATCTCTATTCTCTTCAAATCTGTGATAGTTTGTTTCACTTATAATAGCTTGAGATTCCCTTTCCTTCCGTGCTTCAAATATAAACAACTGAAGCATATTTCAAATATTGCAAAAAGTTTTATTTAAAATACAAAATCTGTAATTTTTCCAAATATGGCAAAAAAAAATAAAGTACTTATGGTTTGTTTAGGTACGATTGCAATTATGATATATATATATATATGGATTGATTATGGAATTATTACGAAATTGTTACTATTATTGTAGGAAACAGTTGTCGGTCTCCAATAGCTGAGGCGGTTTTTAATGAACAAATTAAACAAATGAATTTACTTAATTATTGGGAAACAGATAGCGCAGCAATTCTGAAATATCATATAGGCAATCCACCTGAACCAAGAGCCATGTCGACGCTTCATAAACATGGAATTACTGAGTACTCTCATATAGCAAGACTCGTAAGAACATTTGATGTAAATTAATACAAAATGATTTCGAAGACTAAAAAGAAATAAATCAAAAGGCTGGCCCAAACAACTCATAAAACAAAGTAATAAAGGGCTTTTAATGCAAAGTACTTTTACTTACCATAACTGTTCACTAATAAAGAAACTGCTAATTGGTCTTTGAAGAAAATTAGATTGTAGTTTAAGTTATACAAAAAAATATTAATATTATAATTATTGTTATTTTAGCTTACAAAAGCTGATTTTAACGAATATGATTGGATTTTTGGAATGGATGGTTATATAATAGAATGTTTGGATCATTATAGACCAAAAAATAGTAAAGCAATTGTTGAAATTTTAGGGAAATATGATCCCAATGGAGAAATTAATATAAGGGATCCATTATTTGTACGTAATTTTCAATAATGCAATCTTTAATTACATCTTATCAAAAAATAACTTTTATAGCTATTTATATATCATTACTTCGTTTAGGATGATGATAGTCATGGATTTGAAAAAGCATATGAACAGTCTTTAAGAAGTATACGATCTTTTTTAATACATCATAAAAATAGAGAAAATTAATTATATTTTTATTTAACTTTTCGACCAGAAACATAAACTTCCAAAATGTTACGATCATCTCCAGAATATATAAATCTTTGTAATTGCTCTTCTAATGTATAATTTATTAAATTATCTATTGGGCTATCACTAATATTCATATTTATTACAAGTGCATCAAATTGTTTACTAGGCATTAAATTACCTACCTCCTCATCGATTCCTAATGCTGAAATATATAAAGATATTCAAGGATATTAAGGTAAAACATTGAATATCGAATAAAAATACTTACATATAGCACCACCTAAAGTAGCCATATAAAAAACTTCTTTATAATCGAGACTAATATAATCATTTTTAATTGTAGCAAGATTGTTTGACACCATTAATGCAGATCTCATTGCTTCTACCATACTGGAGCTTTGTCCTCCGGCTACATCTAGTGATAAAATAATTATATATTTTATATGCAAATTTATCTGACATCATAAAAAAATTTATAAAGAAAGAATAATATTATCAATACCTGTCCCTAGTCCTACTTTAAGTCCTTTTGAAATTAATTTTCGTACATCGCACATACCACTTTTTAAACATATATTGGATGATGGACAATGTATAACTGCTGTATCATTTTGTTTGAGAAGCGCTATTTCACTGTCCGTAAGGTATATTCCATGAGCTAATATTGTCTAAGAAAAATAATTTAAATCTAATTGAAAAGTGATCAGCTTTCATATTACATTTGATTATTTACCTTATCAGTTAAAAGTCCAGCTTCGTTATATACACTAGCGTAAGATGTATAGTCCTTGAACATGTTTTGTACTGCTTTAATTTCATCTAGATTTTCCGAAATATGTGTCTAAAATAATAATATTTTGTTTTTATAGAAAAATTTTAATTGCTTTATCGAAAGTACGCTTTATAATAATTATTTATAAATACCTGTATACGAAGATTTTTATTTTTAGCCAGTAAACCCAATTCTATCATCAATTTCATATCACAACTTAAAGCAAATCTTGGTGTAATGATTGGTTTTATAAGAGGATTCTATAATCCAAATTTTCTTATTCAAATATTAAAATTTAATTTATTTTACTATTATAGTGTTTCATCATTGAAATAATTACTTTTCCTTACATTTAAAGCAATAACATCATCTACAAATTGTATAGTATTTTTTATAGAATCTACCGTATTTTCATAATAGCCATCATCGCGGTCTACATTCATATTTACTTTTCCTATAAAAGCACGTTGGCCATATTTTGAAACTGCTTGTGCTAGTTCCATACATGCCTTTCCATATAAAGATGCAAAGTAACATGCTGTTGTTGTACCCATACCAAGTGTACGTTTCTATATATATATATATATATATATGAAACATTCAAAACAATATATTTTATCTATTAAATATACAAATATCTTTATTGTTTGTGTGAGATTAAAATGAGAACTAAATTCTACATACCACAACAGTTTTAAATACACGTTTAGCAAAATTCTCATCGACATATTTTCTTTCTAACGGGAAAGTATACTTTTCTAACCAATCTAATAGATTTTTATCATAACCCAAACCAAGATTAGGAAATTGAACTGCATGGGTATGACAATCGACAAAACCTGGCATTAAAAATTCATGGTTGTTTAAAAAAGTTACATGATCCCCTTTAATTTTACTAAGATCTGGATTAATAGTAACATCAGTTATCTGTAAATTTAAAATGAATTATTCAAATTGCGATAATTAATTAGATGTTAATTTTATTGGAATACAAAAAATATGATAAATATATTTTATTGACATTGTATAAGAGATATTATTATGTATACCTTGCCATTTTCTACCAGTACTGCGGCTTGTTTAATTGTAATTAATTCCCTTTTTTTATTACAATGCACCAAGGAACCAACGAATAATCGATTTGACATATTGTAAAAAATGGTTTTTATAATCTTTCAAAAGTGGTAATGTTAACTAAAAAAATACGAATGAAAATTAGTATCACGTATATTTATCTATTACACGCAATCTATTACACGCAAAAAAAAAAAGAAAAAAAAGATCTCATATAAAATTAATAGTTAATAATTATTTTTCAGTTGTAATACATTAATTATATTTATTTTATTAGTGTAAGACAATATTGATGGCTAAATCAATCAACAATATCCTACTTCTAATAATTATAAGGATGGAGTTTCCAATAAACAAATAACTAAACTAATTAACTAATATTCTAAAATGATCTTATGATAAAATTCATTATCTCTAATGGCCCCATTGAAAGAACAAACGGCAATCACGGTTTGTATAAAGGTTGCATCAGGATATTTTAATATTATTTTCCCATAATTTTCACGAAAAAAATTCAAAGGGATATAAATAATATGTGGAGGAAATATTGATCAAATATATCATAGCAACAAGATCGTTTTTCGATTTGTATTCCTTTCGTGAAACTAATCCATTATATAATATCAATCGAAAGATTATTATCATTTGTTTACTTGCAAGTAAATTTATTAAGAATTTAAAATATGGAAAATAAAAAGGAAAAGAAACGTGAACAAGTAAAAAAAAGCGATAAATTAATATCCGATCCACATCGGGAATATTTGGATATGAATACCGATGAAGAAGGCTACGAAAGACATGGTAAAATAAAATGATAGTTTTTATTGTAATTTGGATTATTATTTCTATTTTTAACTGAACTATCACGTTCATATGTCATGCAATAATAAAAAAAAATAGAAATTTATCGCTTAAATCTCAATCATGCACGTTGTACATGTTTATTAAACTCAACGTTGGCATCATATTTTTTTATAGAATTAATTACAATTTATTGCGCGCCAGCTGAAAACCGGGTCGTCATTTATCGATAATAAATATTGATAATTATTTATTTATAAATGACTAATTATAATTTCTTTTACGTATTCTTTATTGTTCGAAAATATGAAATCGGATTATCTAAAGTCCCTCCGTTAATTCGAAAAATACGTTCTAATTATATTTCCTGAACAATTATGGTTTTATCAACTTTAATGGATATGCGTTTAATAATTATCAATTGTATTAGAAAATTATTAAATGATTTAATGTATTTATACAATACTTAATTACAGAAAGTTCCGAGGGTGAAGAAGAAACTTCTTCAGAACCAGAAAATCCTATCTATACTGAAAAACAACTGATAACGTTAGTCAGTATCATGATTACTCATTTAGCGGGAAAATTTAAATGATATTAAAACAATCACTTCTATTCAAATGCGCGTATATTTTCAATTGATTCATTTAAAAGTTTGATTATATTTGATATCATAAAGATATGTTTTTTAGGTACAATATATAAAAGATTTGACTGTATTATCTCATCTCAAGGAATCAGATTGGAATGAAAACTGTTACGAAGTTATAGAAGAATATTTTCAATGCGTAACTCATAATATATTGATTATATTTTTCAATCAAAATAAATTAAAAGCATCTTTAAATTTTTACGATTGCAGAGATGTAGAAGTTATGTATTTTTTAAGATCATCGTTACAAATCTACATGCCTGATGATTTTTTTAAAACTATTCTATGTGGAAATGTCACCAGAGATAAAACAAAATCAATTTTTAAATTTTTAATAAATATATACGCACCTGTTGCTTTGAATAGTAAAGAATGGCCAAAAAGTATTTCTTTATAATATATTTATTATTTAATAATAATAAGTAAATATTAATGAGATTTTTAAAAATTCTATTCTAGTTATACAAAATGATTTATATTTGAATTTACATGATCTTTTAATGGTTCTAAATGATCAGCTTTGTAAATCAATAAATAGAACGATTTTGTACGTACCCAAAGAACGGTTACCTAAATTACAAGGATTTCGTTTATTTTATGAGAATGATTCCATATTTATAGAAGAAAAAGATTCTATCCTATTAACGCAAGAGTTTCATATTAGAGAATTCATTGGAAGATTGGAAAAAATAGTCAGGTGTTGGATCAAGCAAATACATTCAGCTTTGGCTGCTATGGCTATTAGAAAAAATATTAAAAGTATAATGGATGAACGGAATCATTGGAAAAATGTTTGTTAGTTTAATCTTTTTTTTTATTATTATCGTAGCTTACTATATTGGATATACTATAAAATATATTATTCATTAAAAACATATTTGTATGTATATTTTCAGATGATAATTTAAATTCTTTAAATCATCAATTGTCCAATAACGAAGTCCAAGGAATTTTCAAATTATTAAGAAATATTAATTCATCTAGTGTAGAATCATTTCCAATGGATATTAAACAAATACAGAAAGCATTGATAGAATCTTCATCTAATTTAATATACTTAAACATTTTATCTGAATATTGTACTAATTTATTTATCTCCAATAACATAGAAATTAATACAACAAAGATATTCCTTCTGATATTGGTCATTTGGGTGGAATCACCTTTTTACAGTATAACGTATATAGAATTATTAAATAATTAATTTACTAAAATATGTCTATAATATTTATTAGAGAATTATACGATATTAACATGTAATTTATATTTTTATAGAAATAATATAGAATCCCTTTGTCGAGCATTAAGTTTGCAGTTAATATCTCAATGTCAATGTTGCATAGATTTAGAAAGTGCAATTAAGGGACACGTCGAAAGTGGAATACATATGCTAAAGAAATCTATATCTACTTGTGAAATGTATAAAAAAATTTACGAGAAAGTAAGAATACATTTTATTAAATACGAAATAAAATATTTCCATTTTAACATTTATAGTGATCTGGAAAATATTTTGTAGTTTGTTAAAAAAGTAGTAACATCTATCAACCCTAATAAAATATGGAATATAGATGAGCAATTAATTTTTAATAACATTAATGCATTTATACAAAGATGTCATGATATAATTGAAATTTGTAATGCGCGAATTATTTTTGAAAGGTAATTTGAGACGTCCAATATTTGGCTTTTTTATATAAATATTATTTATATTATTATTATATTACTTATATTATTATAGGTGTACCAAAGGAGGAACATTCGGAGGCGCAAAAGGATTAGAATATGAAACATGTTGTCAACAAATTGAAAATCTGTTTTATGATCATTTAAGCAACATCATTGCAATTCAAGATAATTTATTAAATATTCAAAATATTAAGTGGAATATTGCTATAGATAAATTTAGAAGAGCTACAATACAATTAGAGAACACAATCAAAAATTTAATTAATCATATTTTTGAAAACATTAAAAACGTTGATGAGGGCATTGAAGCGATATATGCTCTTGAAAGATTTAAGTATCGAAAGTGTTTAAAAGATTTAATACATGAAAAATGGGAACAGGTGAAATATTTACGAAATAAAATATATATAATTGTAATTTAATACAATTGGTAGTTATGATTTTATTATGTACGTAGGTATGGAAAATTTTAGACGAAGAAATAGAAATGTGCAATGTAACTAAAATTATAGAAATAGGTGAATATCATCCACTTATTAAATCCTTTTCTAAATACTCCAAAGAACGGTACACAAACAAATATTATTTAAAAGTGCAATATACAAAAATGATAAATGCATCTTATTGGCTGAGAGATTGTATAGCTGAAAGGTATACACAATATTGTGAAGTAATGGTTTTAACTATACTTTTTATAAAGAAAATGTAATGTCATAAAATTTGAATAATTTTAGGTATGCCCTGGAACGGTACAAAGTTGTAATAAATCAGTTAAAAGATACTTATATTATTAATGAAATATAAAGCTAATCACATGAATTTAAGAATTCTATAAAAATTAACATGTACTAATTACTAAAACAGTTTTTCACGAAAGTTTAACTATCTTTATGAAATAAAATAATATTTTCTTTTATTTCATTCATATACAATATAATTTTTAATATAAATGTACATTAATAATAAAAGTATAAGAAATCTATCAGATAATACAAAAAAAATATTTGATATAATATAATAACGATACTATAAAATTTTAATAATTTCTTGAGGTATACATTTAATAACTAAAATATTTGAATTGCACGTTCTATCTATCTTAAATATTACCTACCAGTTATAAAAATATATCTATAATATTATATCTTCATGTTTTTGATTTATAGAAACAACTTATTAAATGAATTTTCATTATTGTTCTTTTTTTTTGTATACATACTTTCTGATGCGTGAATATTCATTTGAATTAATTATTACTTTAGTAGGAACTATATAAATGCAAGAAATTGTTACTTAATCTAAAAAAAAAGAAATCCATAAATAA